CTGCTTCTTACTTCAATGGGTAAGGTACGCCTAAACCTGTCAGGACATCAAGGTCAAACACCCAACCGTGCACTCAAACAGAACCTGCAGGCGCTTACCAATTAACATAACAGCCATGCTTTTGGAATGGAAGAAGCCAGAGTACCCAGAGAGAACCAGCATGTGCATGAGGACACAATGCAGACTCAATGAAGAGTACACCCTGAACAGGATTTGAAACATGGACCTTCTTGCTGCAAGAAATATGTTCACCGTGCAAGCACAGTGATATGTTAGTTTACATTCCAATCCCTGAATGTCAATTTATATCTTTTGGTTTTTTTTAACAGCTTATCTAGTAACTTTGGAGACTGTAAGTGTTACTTTCCTACTTGTCAACAATACGGGATCTGTAGACCAGCCATTAAATACATTTCCAAGGCATTGTAAAAAGAAAAAATAAGAATGGTAACCTACATCTAACACTAGCTAATGCTCAGTTGGGAACTTATGTTAAAAAAATCAGTATAAAGATGCATTTTGGTTTGTTTCATGGCATACAGCAATGGAAAAGCTAATCAGCGAAAACAAATCAATTAAAAGCTGAAACTTAATTGCAAAACTCCATTCAATTTAAGACTTCTTCCATCTTAAAGGCAAAACTTTAACAGTGATAAAGTTTTGCAGAAGGGAGGTTGATCACCTGAGTCCTTTTATTCTTATTAGATATAGATTATTTTTCTCTGCTTTGTGTGCCTATGATTACAAAATGCACTCTACTTTATATATGTAGTTATAATTCCTCAGCTCTGTATGTTTCTCTCCAGTACACTGAATTTTTAAGCTATCTTATTGGAGAATCCAAAAAAGAGCTGTAGTTTGTACTACCTTTGCTATCTAATGATGAGTCGGTCGTGGTCGAGTTCTCTCTTTGAACTGGCTCTTTCACAGACACAAACAAATCATTATTTTCTCTCTATGAGTGAGTCCCTCTGTGGATGTTTAGCTACTGTACACCTAAATGGTGCTTTTGGAAGAAGTTTGCTGCCATCTACTGTCATGCCCAGCTTCCATGGTTTTTATACTTAATCGTACCTTAATCGATATTCTGCTTTTGCTATACATATGAAATGTATCATTCCTAATGTATTAAATAAGATAATATAACCTGACATACTGTATCACCTGATATTAAAAACTGGGAATACACACAGCTTGTTTATGCTTGGACTCTCTCCCTCACTGCTGTAGCATACAGGAAAATGTAACATTTGGTTTTAGTAGGATGTAGAGTTCTGATCATATATTTAATCAAAATATAAGCTTTCAGTGCTCAGCTGGACGCTTACGTCAATGTTTGTAAAAGCAAGAGGCTTAAAGATCCAGTGTTATTAGAGTAGAATGAAATTAGTTTATGAGTGCTGTAACTTCTTTAGTATCAGCCTGGATTCTACGATTATCTAAGAAAAAAGACAACTGCAAGTGTAATTTTTAAGATGTGCGGTGTTGCACGAGGTTCGAAGGATCTTCTTCATTTTTACTCAAACTATCTCATCATTATGGTATGGAGCCCGTAAAGGGACACTGAAATAATAAAAAAAGAGATTCCAAAACAAAAACATTAAAAACAATCCACTGGACTTTGTTTTCAAGTTTGAAGACATTTCGCTTCCCCTTTTTCAATTAAAAATGTCAGGAATAGCTTTGAATTCGAGGTTTTATACAGTAGCCCAACAAAGCCTTGTTTTTGTTTTGAAAACATGCAAATTGAAACGAACGGAAGGGTCCACCCCTTTGGAATTGGAGTAGTAGGGTTTTTTTTTGTTAGCCTGCAATGCCCCATACCTCTCTAAGTGTCTGAAAGGGGGGTCTATAAAGGGGATTCTTGGCCTGGCTGAATAGGTGAGGTCCTCCGCTCTCCTGTACAGAGGCTGGGGCTGCGATCAATTGCTGCATTGTAGTCCACCCCCTCTGTTTAAGATTGCTTTTTCTTTCTTAACATAGAGAGAAAAAAGAAAACATTTTGAAAATATATGATGCATTTAGATAACTCGCGGGATTTTTCATAATATTTCGGACTTGCTGAGTTAACTGAAAGAAAAATATGACATAATTCAATTTCAATTCAGTTTATTTATATAGCGCCAAATTCACAACACATGTTATCTCAAGGCACTTTACAGTTCAACCAGATCATACAGTCAAATTGATACAAAGTTTTCTATCTAAGGAAAACCAGTTGATTGCATCGACTCATTGACTCAAATACAATCCCTCATACTAAGCATGCTTGTTGAGATTTAGTTAT